GCTTTAGGATTGATCTGGAGGAATCCGGCACTTTTTTTTTTCCCTTCGGCTTCTATTAAGAAAATTGAAATCCGGCTTTTTTTTTTTTTTTTTTTTTAAAGATTTTATTTATTTGACAGAGAGAGAGATAGCGAGAGAAAGAATACAAGCAGGGGGAGTGGGAGAGGGAGAAGCAGGTTCTCCGCCAAGCAGGGAGCCCAATGTGGGGCTCGATCCCAGGACCCTGGGATCATGACCTGAGCCGAAGGCAGATACTTAACCTCTGAGCCACCCAGGCACCCCAGAATTATTTTTTTTTAATGATAGTATGTGAACTCAGTAGATTTAAAAATCTAAAGGAAGTGACGTTCTCTACAAAATTAGTCTGTTCAAATTGTCTAAGAGGAAAACTTGGATAAACCAATAATCACAAAAATATGAAATGTGTTTTTATAAACGCTTCCATTTAGAAAATCACCAGAGCCAGGTGGTTTTATAAGTGAATTCTGCCTAAGCTATAAAAAAAAAAGATAGTCTCTATTTTATGCTAGTTATTCCAGGTAGGGTGTTTCCCATTTATTTAAGTAGCTAGAGTCCTAAAAACTGGTAAAGACTGTGTGGAAAAAGGAAATCTTATGCATGTAGATTCATTTTAAATATGATGCTAATCAATTGAATCCAGGAGTGCAAGTTAATTAAATTCCATCATCAGGTAGCATTGATTCGGAAAATGTAAGAATAGTTCAACATTAGAAAATCTAACAATATAAATCATCATATCAACAAAGGAAAGGTGAAGTGTTATAATATTAATGGAAGTCGAGAGGCATTTGGTGTAATTCTTCAGACATTTTCAGTAAAAACTTGTTAAAGTAAAAATGGAATTAGAAAAAATTTTCTGAATATGATTGGTTACTTACCAGCAATCAACCACTAAATAGTGAATCTTAAGCCATTTGCACAAAAATTAGGAATAAGACATGAATGCCAACTACCCTCACGATTTTCAAGTCTGTTTTTGAGAATTTTCTAATTGCAGGAAGATAAGAACATCAAATAAGTATAAATTTGAAACAGAAAAGACAAAAGTATCTTCATATAAAGATTATATGAATATTCATCTAGAAGATTAAGTGGCCAGATATACAATAAATATATAAAATCAGTATCTTCTTGTGTGTAAGGGTGAAGTGTCTGCAACTTACTTTGAAATGCATTTGATTAATGGATTAATGGATGACTAGAGGGATGGCTGTATGATAAAGCAAATGTAGTAAAATGGAAATTGTAGGATATAGGCAGTGGATATACATTTGTTCACTGTAAAAATTTTTTATCTTTTGAAAAAAACCGAGTGACAGAAAGAAATGTCATTTTTGTCTATACTGATCTAAAGACTTGATACAACAGACATTTTGTGGAGCTTGATAAGCTGATCCTAAGTTTATAAGAACGGATAAAAGGCCAGGAATACCTGAGACTCAAATATATATATGTCTTATTTTATGACAGCTGGATGGGTGGATCAGTGGAGAAGGAATAGAGTTTTTTACAAGTTATTCTGGGACAACTGGTTATCCCTATTTTAAAAAATTATATTAGACCCCCCCCATACCTTGCAAAGTAGTCCATTCAAGGTGAACTTAAGACTTAACTGGAAAATACAAACTATTAAATTTTTTAAAAAGACTCTATAGAATATTTTTGTGACTTCAGGGTAGAGAAGGATTTCTTAAACAAGACACAAAGAAAAAAAACATAAAGAAAAGATTAATAACATCAGATGATATTAAAATTAGGAACTTCCATTTCTCAAACACACAAAGAATCCCACAAAAGTGGAGAAGATATTTACTGCCTGTGTAACTAACGTAGAGTTAGCATCCAGATTATGTAAATAACTTGTATAAATCACTTGGAAAAGACGGATAATACAGGAGAGAATATATAATGTCCTGAACAGGCACTTCATAGAAAATGAAAACCAAAAGGCCAAAATATTTATGAAAGGTGTTCAAGTACATTAGTAATCAGGAAAGTATGAGATAAACCAGATGAGATACCATTTTATACCTACCAGATTGCCATAAATATTAAAGTCTGATGTTACCAAATGCTGGAAACTATGTGAAACAACGAGAGATTGAAGAGTTTTCATTGTGCCAGTGGAAGTGTAAACTGGGGCAAGCTCTTTGGAAACAATTTGGCATTGATCTAGTAAGGTCGAAAGTCTGCATGCACTATCGCCCAACGAGGTAGGTGTATGAAATATGCTCATTAGACTGGGCTGACCGACGAATAGCCCATTTCACGGCAGCACCCGGGCTACTTGGGCACTTTTGTGTCCCTCCAGGACTCTCCCTCCCTCCTTCCCAAGAAACGAACCCCAGTATCGTTAAAATGTTACGACATTGCAGGGGATGATACAATATGGATTAACGGAGTCGAATCTACCTTCATTATCCTCAAAATCCAATTTGAGGAATAACATTCTGTAAAATTCTTGAGTCCCTGGCTATGTGAGATTAATCTGTTCAGAGCTGGACTCAGCAGAGGTCAGGTATGGTTAACCTTATTTCCCTCCTTGTGTTGGTGTGTTTGTTCACATGTGAGGTTCTTAGAACTCATTGGCTCATCAGTAGAGGAACTAGAATGAGGTTCAACAAGACCTCATGTTTACATTCTTGCCTAACACTCCATTCCAGGAAAATTGTGTTCTTCTCCAAACCCAGGTTAAATCTCACCTCCTTTAGTGGACTCTTAGTACACTCGCCCCATTCCCAGGCAGAGTGAATTATTCTCTTCTCTCTGATCCCACAGAAATTTTCACATTGTTATTTCTGCTTCTATCACTTTGTGTATGATAAGTGATCTAGTTGTCAAGGATGAACCAGTTTTCTCATTCATCTTTTTCATCTTTATATTCTTGGTCCCCAGCAAAGAGTATGGCATATAATCGATGCTTCATAAGTTTCTTGGATAAATTACCAGGAGGTCTCTCCAGATAACCAATGCAGGTCATCAAACCAAATCTGGCCCCCAGGTGTTTTATAAATAAAGTCTTATTGGAACACAGCCATACTCATTTAGCTATATACTGTCTACTGTCATGCCACAATAAGCAGAGTTGAGGAGTTGTGACAGAGTATAGCCCACAGACCTCAAGTATTTGCTCTCTGGCCCTTTACAGAAAAAGCTTGCTGACCGCTGGTCTAGGCGTTCATTTTCTTCTACTCATGATTGCTGGGTAAACTCTGAAAATGTCTTAGTCCCTGGCTGCCATTTATCTAGATTTTTTAAAAATAATATACATTATTTTTGGTCTATTAAGTTACTACAAGGTAATAATTAAGTTACAGCTGTACTTGACTACAATTTCAAGGCTAACAAAATGCTGGTATTACTGAACAACTACTTGAAGTTTGGTGTTTTCTAAATTGCATCGGTACCACATTCGTGAATCGTTATTTTGTTGTCGTATTTGAGGGACCTCGGTGGAAAGTGGGGTAGAAAGAGCCCCTTGGTAACTGGATAAATGATAAACTTCTAACACCATTTCAGTTAAAGCAAGCGGAATTGTGAGATTATTTCCAGAGATTTTTAAGACAAGTTATATGACAGTAGAAAGCATGAAAATATTTTTCTCATGCTTATTCTTCGAGTAGCCTGATAATAACGTTTTGGTCTCTGGACTTCCATAGCAATGGACCTTTGTTCAGACAAGGTTAAGAAGAGTAAATTAAGCACTATCATTTTCTACTTGTGATTTCTAGAGATTCTAAGTTTATATGTGGCTGTTAGCATGTTGCCTGACACAGAACATGCCTTCAAAAATATTCGCTGAATTAATGTCCTGGCAAGTAGAACCTGGCTTTGCAAAATCTTTACAGGATTCATTTATTATTGATATATTACATTAGGTCCTTATATGTATAGAAATAGTAAATTTTATCATTGCTCAGAGGAGGGGCGAGGTTATATCCAGCTGAGATTGGTAAATAAGATGACAAAGAATGTACAATTCGAGTGACCATCGAAGGACTTGGGGGGGAAGAAGGACGGCCAAGGAAGGCGGATAAGGATGGAGGTGGCATTAGCAGAGACAGGCACACATGAGATGGGTTGAAAGCCTGCCTGAAGTGAAGCAGTTGGTTTATGCAGGTTAAATGGTTGCAATAAAATTGAACAGCTATTTGAAATTAGATCTAGAATTTAAGTGCCTTCAATACCTCACTGTATCACTAGGCAACCACAGATGTTTGAACAGAGGAATAAAAAGGAAAAAAAAAGAACATGAGGTGTGGGAAAGATGAGTCAGGAGACACAGGGAGAGATGTCCTCGAAGGAGGAGCAGTAGACAATGAGGGAAAGAGTGACACAAGAGCCCATGAAACACAAGCTGCCTAGTTACGGGGGAAGAAAGTGAGGAGCTCAAAACTGACGACAGGGTCTCTAGCCTCAGGAAATATGGCCCTTTCATTCGGAGAAGCAGAAGTCAGAAGAAATATGGGGTGAAGACAATTAACTCATTTTTTAAGGGCATTTTTTAAAAAGATTTTATTTGTTTATTTGACAAAGAGAGCACAAGCAGGGGGAGCGGCAGAGGGAGAGGGAGAAGCAGACTCCCTGCTGAGCAGGGAGCCCGATATGGGGCTTGATTCCAGGACCCTGGGATCATGACCCAAGCCAAAGGCAGACGCTTAACTGACTGAGCCACCCAGGTGCCCCTTAACTCATGTTTTTAAGGAAGAAGGTGGTGAGCTCAGGAGACCAGCTGGGCTAGGGAGCAGATTTGGGAGTCCCCAGAGGAAAGGAAGAGGTCAAGAGTCTGGGGCCCATGAGAGGAAGGAGAGTGCAGTACAAGAAAAGACCGTCACACGTACCCTTCAGAACTGAAGGCCAGGGGTACCTGGGTGGCTCAGTCGTTAAGCGTCTGCCTTAGGCTCAGGTTATGATCCCGGAGTCCTGGGAACGATTCCCGCATCAGGCTCCCTGCTCGGCCGGGAGCCTGCTTCTCCCTCTCCCACTCCCCCTGCTTGTGATCCCTCTCTCGCTGTGTCTCTCTCTGTCAAATAAATAAAATTTAAAAAAAACTGAAGGCCAGGTTGCCAAAGCTTGAAGCTGCCGCACCCGACCTGGGGGCTCAGACTTCTGATTGCTCTTGAAGGTAGTGTTGGAGAGATTTCAAAAAGCCTAATGGAAATTTTACATAAAGCTAAATAAATAAACAAAAACAAGTCACTTTTTTTTCTTTTCCTGAAATCATACCAATCCAGTGTTGGTTTTTGTGCAGACTGGAAGTTCTAATGTGCATTAAGGATGGATTTGATTGATTTAAAATAGGGAAGTGCATTATTACTTAATCTTGCCTCTTCAGCCTTTTGAAAGCATTCATTTAAGTGTTCCTTGGAACACACTTTGGCAAATGTGTGAGATAATGATGTGAGGTTGCCTAGCAGCAGGCTCTGTAATGGGCAGGATCAGGCTTTTAGTCCCAAGATGTCCAAATAACTGCAACACTAAGAGGTTACAGAGTGTTTCCATGTACATTGTCTCATCTGGTCCTCTCACCACTAGTTAAAACATTGCCCTGCTACTTCTAATTCAGAAAATAATTAGGCAGTCTCCTTTTAAACTTTGCACAGTCCTAGCCATTAAGAGTTGCTTTAGGATTGATCTGGAGGAATCCGGCACTTTTTTTTTTCCCTTCGGCTTCTATTAAGAAAATTGAAATCCGGCTTTTTTTTTTTTTTTTTTTATTGTCCATTAGCAAAATCACCTCAGAAGGGGTTTGTGCCATGTCTTTGGATTTTCTTTGTGTGTCTGCCTCACATCTGTGGTTCTTTAATTCAGATACCCAGCATAATGATGCCAATATCCCTAATAAATATTTGAGGCTAGAAGTGGATTTTCACAGGGACATATTTCTGACTCATGTTATTTCAGTATGTACATTCCAAGGGATTGATTGTTGTAATCCAAGTATCATTAACTAAAAATGTGAAGAGCTCATTGCTAAAAATCCTTAGAGAGTTTGTAAACATCCTGTGCTGCCACTTTAGAGCTTTAAACATAAACTCCTAAATAAAAACTGCGTGTGCAATTCATGTTTTGTGTGTGTGTTTGGAAATTTATCCTGAAACACAAATAGGAGCAAAACTAATTAGCAGGGTTAATTAAACACTTCTGTAGGAGCACTGTTCTCTCTACAATCCATGCCAGAAAGTTGCTGGAATATTTTTAATTTTACAAAGATAGAGACAGACACCAACAGACAGCTAGGAAGGAGTAGTTTCACACACAAGGTTGCATCAAATTTAACACACCCTTTGTTAATCATCTCAGATCACCGGGCATGCTGAAACGGGACACTGAACAACATCCTTTGCTAAACAGTTCCAGGTAGAGCCGTAAGAATTATCTCCCGGGTCCAAGAAGGAATAAGTGCCACCCGTGGAATCCAGCTCCTGCATTTGCCATTGAACTCCATTCCCAAAGCCTCTCCTCTGATTGGTTTTTTGGCATCATGTTGAGTGTTCCCATCCCCCAGCAGCTGCTGCCCTTGAGAGCCAGCATAACTCAAAGAGGCAAAGATCATTGAGCTCCAAACACTGAGGAAATTTTGGCATCTTCCCTATCACAGGAGGCCAGCCAGGTTGTACTCCAACCCAGCCTCTGAGAGAAACCTTTCAAAGACATAAATATTTTATAGCTGAGCCCCAGCTTAAGAAGTCTCCCCCATGCTCTGCCCTCTTCTGTCCCAGGATTGGCCAGAGGCCATTTGCAAGGGAGAGACCAGAAGAGAAAGCTTTGACTCTCACTTTCTCCCCTAAATCTCCCAGACTCTCAGGGGTCACTTTCTGTATTGGAGGTATGGGGGAAGTGGGCTGGGTTCCTGTCAGAAGGCACCAAAACCCAAAGGCAGGGCAGGCGTGGAGGACAGAGCCTGGCATTTGAAGCAAAGAGTTGGAGCCAGAGAAGGAACAAAAGGAAAGTCATGTTGGTCCCTGCTTTGAATGTAAAGAATTATTTGATAGTGTTTATTCTTGCTTATTTTGCTCATTCCAGTATATTTGAAGCTAAAACTCTTTGTTTGTTTAATTTTATTATATTATGTCATGTTAGTCACCATACATTACATCTTTAGTTTTTGATGTAGTGATCCATGATTCATTGTTTGCATATAACACCCAGTGCTCCATGCAATATGTGCCCTCCTTAATACTCATCACTGGGCTAACCCATCCCCTCACCCCCCTCCCCTCTAAAACCATCAGTTTGTTTCTCAGAGTCCATAATCTCTCATGGTTCATCTCCGTCTCCGATTCCCCGCCCCCTTCATTTTTCCCTTCCTACTATCTTTTTTTTTTTTTTTTTTTTAACATATAATGTATTATTTGTTTCAGGGGAACAGGTCTGTGATTCATCAGTCTTAACACAATTCACAGCACTCACCATAGCACATACCCTCCCCAATGTCCATCACCCAACCACCCTATCCCTCTCACCCCCCTCCACTCCAGCAACCCTCAGTTTGTTTCCTGAGATTAAGAGTCTCTTATGGTTTGTCTCTCTCTCTGGTTTCATCTTCTTTCATTTTTCCCTCCCTTCCCCTATGGTCCTCTGTCTTGTTTCTCAAATTCCTCATATTGGTGAGATCATACAACACTTGTCTTTCTCTGATGGACTTATTTCACTTAGCATAATACCCTCCAGTTCCATCCACGTAGTTGCAAATGGCAAGATTTCGGGTTTTTTGATGGCTGCATAATATTCCATTGTGTATATATACCACATCTTCTTTATCCATTACTCTGTTGATGGACATCTTGGCTCTTTCCATAGTTTGGCTGTTGTGGACATTGCTGCTATAAACATTGGGGTGCACATACCCCGAAGCTAAAACTCTTTGTGATGGGTATTGGGCCTCTGTCCCCAGGACCTCTCCTGGCTTAACTGAACATTCCTCAACATAGACGTGTTTCCTGTGGCTTTAGAAAGGCATACATTATTTTCTTTTACACTTTGGAATTGGGGTAAAGTCCTTAGATTCAGAGATGCACTGGCTTTTGACTCATGGCCTTAAAAAGAATAGTAATTGGTCTTTTTCACATGTGTGTATATCCTAGATGGTGCCAAAGGTCCCAAATCACTAAGGGCATCCAGTTCACTGGTGGTACAAGGAGGAAAAATTAAGCGCAAGTTTGTGGATCTGGGGTAAGCATTTCATGATGTAAAAAACAAACCCTCTGTAAAAAAAAAAAAAAGCTAAAAGAGAAAATGTCAGTTTCCCTTTCTGACTGTGTGCTGTCATTATAGGGCACCTTTGCGAAGGAATTCCAACAAGGGAAAGAAATGGAAAGAAAAGGAAAAAGAAGCCAATAGGTTTTCTCCAGGTAGCAGGTACGGGTGGGTGATCTCAACTTTCTGGCCCCCCTCCTCCTATGGTTAACCAAAATAAGTGGTCAGGATCTATGAGCTGAAGTGATCCACCTAGAGGTGAGATGGAAGAGAAATTGCACAATCAGTTTATATTTGTCCTACCCCAGTTGTAGTCTACACTGGCGTCGGGTATATCCATTGGCTTAATTGCAGAATTATGGTCACATGAAGTTTCAATAAATGTTTATCTAAATACAGCATAAATATATCTATGTGATACGTCAGTTACGCATATTTCAGGGTCTTTACCTGGCTACCCACAACACTAATGTCCTCTTTTTTGTCAAGTCTGAAAGGGTAATTTTATATTGAAGTACCTTGTTGGTTTTCAGCACTATTCTGTCCACATGTGAGAAGGACCTTCATCTCTTGCTGGACTCAGCTATTCAATTGATTTTCTTCAGGCCCTACCAACTATTCTTATCAATAAAGACTTCCCTATCAAAAAGTGAGCTTCGTACTGCATGTTGTCAAGCCTTCCCAATTTTATTCTGAGATTACATAATTTTAGGTTTAAATTTGTATCGAGAAGCAATGAGGCATGGAGCTTGACTACCTGGATTTGTATCAGAGCTCTCCTAGTTATTACCTTTAAAATCTTGGACAAACTCTTTAACCTGTTTGCTTCCATTTTCTTGTGTGAAATAAGGGTAAATAACGGGATCTACCTAATAACTTTAGAGTAAGGATTAAGTACGTTTTCATACAAAGCATGTCAAATGGTACCTGGCACATAGGAGGTATTTAAAAATAATAATAATTAAGATAACAGTTTGTTATCATTATTACTTGCAAGTTACAGTTTTACAGAGCAGTTTTACAGGTATCACTTTAGTCGATCCTTATAATAAGGTTGGGAGGCCAGAGAATAATACCATACTTTATTAAGAACCTCACCTTTGTAGAATTTAATTGATTTGCCCACGATTATGCAGCAGGCAGTTAACTCAGCGGGGCTTGTGCCTCCGTCCAGATGCCTTTGCAACACACCTCCCCTCCACTTGTTTATGCATTGAATGATGCGGAAATCTCTTCACGAAATTTGGGAATCACCCCGACAGCGGCAGACTAAGGAAGAAACAGAATGCTAACGATAAAAGATCATCAAATCATTTGGGGACCACTGATCCACTTTATAAGTCGTCCTCTATGTTTCTTTTTCTTCTTTTCCTTTTTTCTGCCAATACCACTTGGTGAGAAATTGTACCTTCTTCCTGGGATTATAGGAGAGTAGGGTCAGGGATGAGAGGAGGGAATTCCCAAATTAATTGTGTTAGTCTGTTGTGGTGGTGGTTTGATCCTGTACGGTGGAGAAAGGGTAAAAAGCTCTGTTTATATCGAGGACACTGGTCTTGGGAAAAATAAGTCCATGACCCAACTCAAAAGCAATTTAACTTTATGTGGTTTTGGAGTGAGAAATATAAAACAGTCTGCTGTGTGCTTTAAAATTAAGAATAGGAAACGATCAAGTATACTCAGGATAAAATACAATAAAAAGTGCAAGTGTTTCAGGGAGAGAGAGATGCCCAGATGCACAACGGGAGAGAAGCTGGGACACTTCTGTAGTAAACAGTGCCCTCTTTTTGGCCCCTGGACTTCTGAGGCAGTCACTTCCTCTCACCTTGAGGCTCCACCCAGAAAGGGATGGAAGGAAGCATCCAGCAGTGGGGAGAAGGTTTGACATGAATTTCATCATAGTAGCCAGAGGCTATCACCTCCCTGTACAAACAGGTGAAAAGCAAGCAATTCTTGATTCTGTTGGCGGGCACGCACCTTACTCTAGGCCAGCCCCAGGGAGTCAAGGGTGGGCTGTCACTGCAACGAATGCCAACTTTGGAACCAGCAGCCAGCCAGCTCAGTATTTTTAAAGTACTAACCCTGAAGTCTTTCTGCTTCACTGGTCACAAGTATTTACACATGTACCAATGCGACAAAATAGTTTTCAATTGGAATCATAATTTTATAATTATCTGTAGTCATAGTGGAATTTTGACAGGCCTGACAGGAATTCATGTAATTGAAATAATAGAAGAACAAGGGAAGAAGAGGGAGGACTTCTTCTGTTTCACAGAATAATTTTTTGAGCTATCACAGGAGTTGGTTAACGCTAATCAAATCTAATGACAGCCTCTCTGCTCCTGTATAGATTGATAATGGGCCCAAAACCTTTTAAGACATAGGTCAGAAAACAGAGTTACTGCCCAGTAGGGGCTTCATGCAACTGAGTTGGTTTCACAGGGCCCCCGAAGGTGGGTGGGTGGTAAGCACCGTCAGCTTCAGAGTCCCACTGCAGTTGCGGGGGACTGGGAATAAACTCATCACCTCTGTGAAGCTTTCTCAGAAAAGAGAGGGGATGATTCATGAATTGAGTTAGTGATCTTATCTCTTAGGCTTTTCATTATTAGGCTGTAAAAATCAGATGAGGTCATTCAATCAGTTCTAGCCTGAGGCTGCAGGACTTTAAAGAGGCAAGACCAGAGGTTTGCTAAATTCGGTCTTGGTTTTAGTTTTTTCCTTCCTCAAGAGTTAAGAGTTTACTTTATTGTATTCCTGGGGGAGACCTAATGACTCACTTGCACGACCAACATGAAACAAATAGATGAGGTTCAATAATTATAATAATAAATAAACCCTACAAAAAATATGGCTCGGTTCTAACCTTTTCACATATGTGCTCAGCGAACATTCTGGTTTAAACAGGCAGCGTAGCAGACAACAGAAGCAGGAAAGTGAGTGAGTTGTCAGAGCTTGTTGACAAAGAGTAAAAAGACTGTCCTCATTTTAGAGTGAGTTGCCACTGATGTAAGTAGAGTACCTGCTTTGGAGCTCTGTGGGAGAAGCTCCTGGTTGAGTGGCAGAATGGAAGAGCGTGTAAGCAGTTATGTGCATCTCAGAACAAGGCTAGACGGTGGCGTGTGGGAGAACGACAGGAAGAGAGATGGCACACCTTTGTGGAGGTGAATTTGCATTCCCCTTCCAAGTGTCAACTGTGGAAAAAACACTGTGCTGGAATCCAAGTATTCATCCTGACTTTGCCATAGGTAAGGCTCTGAATTTCCTAGACCTTGGTTTCCCACCAAAAAATAATCAGATGGGTTAAAACTACATGGTCTCCAACTCCCCAACCATCTCTGTCTGTACTATCCAATATGGTAGCCTCTAGTCAGATGTGGCCATTGAGCACTAGAAATGTGGCTAGTCTATATTGAGATGTATTGTAGGAGAAAATGCATGCAGGATTTCAAAGACTTAGTATGAAAAAAAAAGAATGTGAAATACCTTATTAAAAGTTTTGTAATACTGATTACCTGTTGAAATAATAATATTTTGAATATTTAGGGTTAAATAAAATACAAATTAATTTTACCTCTTTTTTTATGTGGTTACCAGAAAATTGTAATTTATATATGTAGTTCATATTATATTTCTATTAGACAGTGTTGATCCATATGATTCTATGAAAAACATCCTCTTTTGAGTTCTAACTCATTCCGTTGATCTATAAATTGGCATTTTTCCTCTTTATTTTTTTTTGTACTTTTTTATTGAAGTATAATTAAAATACAGTATTATATTAGTTTCAGGGATACAATATAATGATTCAACAATTTCTGTGTATTACTCAGTGCTCATCACGATACATGTGCTCTTGTTTGTCTGTTCTTTTTTAAATCTATAGCTACTCTTCTGTGTTCCCAATATAATTTCTTTATACACAGAGGTACAAAAGATGTAACAATATAATTTATTTTAAAGGCAAATTTGATGGGGAAGAATAAGATAAAGCAAAAAGTAACATTGCTACTTAGAATATAACATCTTCAACAATACTGTCATATGTGCCTGAAGAGAAAAGCACCTCACCACTGCCTAAACTTGACCCACAGAGGCACCCCAAAAAGGAGCCAAAATTTCTTTAAAAAAAAATTATTTAAAAAACAGGAAACAAAATGCAGTTGTAAATGGCCAGAGGAGAATGGTGAAATAATTTCAACCTGGCAAGTTTCAAAGCGAGCGTTTAAGGCATGAACAATGATAATGAAAACACAGTAAAGCCCCTATGGAGTGCTTAACTTTGACAGTAACACTTCTGCAGGTTCTCCCCTTCACTTGATAGTTTTAATGCCCAAAGATGGCTTTCCTTAAAAAGAGGATTATTTGGGTTATAAATTAAAAGTAATTGATTCAAGTCTCCAGTTTTAAAACCTACTTTTTTCGAGTTTCAGTTCATCTTACAAATCTTGTCATTTTGTTTATACATCTAGTAAAATTTTATAAAAAATTTATAGAGACCCTTGAATAATGTTAGGTTGGCCTCAGTAGAGTGGTCTTGTTCCCCCTGTAATTGTCTATCCTGTTTTTAGAAAACTGCACTTACACATTGAATCTGTTCCGTTTTCTTTTTAAGTACATCCCAGTGCTTGAAAGCTGACAAACTTTGACATTCCTAACACATCAACACTCTTCCACTTGAAAAAAACTCTTGAAAATCTAGTCGATTAAAATGGTAACATAGTGACTGTAAACATCCAGTGCTCTTATCACTTTGATTATTTTTCATCTTAACCAGTTAAATATATTAAGATAGAATCAATAGACTTCTCTCTCAGATTTCTAATAATACAAATTTTCTTAAATCCTAAGCAATGTATTTATTATTCCTAAACCTAACATTTTTGTTTTGAAATACCAAATTTTTATTTACATAATCATCTTGCTGTTTCATTTTAAACCTTCCCAGGATGGGGAGGACTCATTAAGGGAACAGTTTCTCCATCTCATATGAATGCAGAGGGGGCACAAAAGACCTTTTCCCTTCTACCCTCTGGGGTTTTCCAGCTGGAATCCTATAAATTAGATTGACAGAAGACAGGTTAAGGGAAAAGCATACAAATTGATTTAATGTAAGTTTTGTGTGATGCAGGAAGCTTTATCAGGAACTGAAGACCAAAGAAGTGGTT